TTAATGCTAATTATTTAATGCTCGTACATAAACTAATTTAAATTTCGGAGCGCTACTCTTTACGTAAAAAAAATTGATAATTATGTACTTTAAGAGACACCGTGCTGATGACCTTAATCTTGACATACGTTGTCAAGATCATAATTGAGAGACCTTCAGCAGTTTTAGATGGCAATCGCTGTTTGTTAAAAAATTATTAACAAAAAAAAGTTTGAAAAATGGTGTCTCTTTTTTACTATATAAAACAGAAATTTCCTACTTTAAAATATATTTTGCGACTTTTCACGCAAAATAACTTCACCCCACCTTCTCCTCCGCTTCAGAGATGCATAACTTTCCACGCGAAACGATTCCCATTCCACTTCCCCCTTGCCAAGAGAGCGTGAAAAGTCGTGCGCTCCTGAAGTAGGAGGGGAAGGGAGGTAAGGTGAAAGCAGTGTTGCCAATCGACAAATACGATAATTTAAATCTTTATACAATTCAAAGGGTGGAATCGTGCATAAAAATACAATAATTCCGCTTTACTTATTTCAGATGATTGAGTTAAAATGCATTTTATTGTAATGAGAAATACCAAAAACACACATGTGGTCACAAAACATGAAAATGTGACAATAGCGCACACTCGCATCGAGACTCGCAATCGAGATCTGCTTGCCAAGCAATTAAATATGATTGCTTGGATTGCTCGGCAGATAAGAACCAATGTTCATCATGTTCATTCGCTCGGCAAATATGCCTAACCGCAAAGGAAAATAAGAAAAAAAATGTTTTATGTATTAGTTTTTGTTTGAACAAAAGAGTCTATAGAGAAAAAAATTATGCTTATAGCAATATGGACGCAATATTTTCAAAATTTATAATACGGATATTTGAAAAATAAATATTTAATATTAAATATAGAATATTGTAATTTATAATTGAAGGAACATATAAGCGGAATCAAAGAAGGCATAAGAAAGGATATCAGGAAAAAAGATGAGAAGAAATGAGGCACGAAAAGATGAATATTAAGGCATTTCTGGTTTCGCATGTAAAAGAAAAAAAAAATTATCTGTACGACTATGTTGGCTGAAATACGATAACTTCGCGTTCGTACAATTTGTAAGAATGCGAAGGTTGGCAACACTGGGTGAAAGTCATTTCGCGTGGAAGTCGTTGCTCTTGAAGCATTAGGGGAAGCAGAGTAAAAGTTGCTTCGTGCGGAAAGACATAAAATATATTTTAAAGAAGAAAATTTCTGTTTCATATAGTAGAAAAGAGACACTATTTTTCAAACTTTTTTTGTTAACGCAATTGATAAACTTTACTAAGACTAAGTCTATACCTATAATCGGAACTACATCTTTAATGCTTTTTTTAAAATAATTTATATGTAAAATTATATACTAAGTATGTAGTTATTTGAACTACGCGCCGAAATGATTTTTCGAACTTATAAACGCAATCAAATTATTATAATAATATCACAAATTAAATTGATAAGCACTTGAATAATTTGATGCTCAGTCTGGCGTCTTATTAGAAAGATATTAATGTATTGAAAAACTGAAAAATAAATTTATTGCGAAAAATATTACCTCGGCCGGGAGTCGTACCCGAATCTCTTGAATTCCGTACAAGCGTCCTACACTTTTAGATTATCGAGTTTTTTGTTAATAACTTTTTAACGAACAGCAATCGCCACCTAAAACCTGTTAGAGGTCACTTAAGGTTATCAGCTTGATAACAACGTCAAGGTCAAGGTCATTGACACGGTGTCCCTTAAAATGCATAATCACCAAATCATCTCATTTGCGGAAAACAATCCCTACAACATAATGTCCCTTTTGCTGTAAACCAATCAATAGAATTTCATCAGAAATTTCCCGTGAAATATCGGGCATCATCCTACAAACTGCATGCAATCGATTGTGAATTCGCAAAGTATTCTTCAAATTTTCTTCTTTGCTGAATTATAATTCCTTAGGAATTCATACAAGAACACAATAAAAATACTTCGAGAAATTTCATTTCTTCAAATTTCGAATTTCTGAAAACTTCTTAAAGCATTCATATAGTATTCATATAAATAAAAAAAGTTTTTATTTAAAAATGGACCATAAATGTTACTTAAATTATTTAAAATTATAAGTAGGAAATTTTTCGTTTTAATCCAACTAAGTTCAAAAAAGTTGTAACGTAAAAATAATTGAGCTACATTCTTTTGTTTTTCTTTGATTAGAAATAAAATGAACGATCGATGTGAACAAATCAAGTCGAACACAGCCCCAATATTAAGCTAATCACGGCGCGCGACATCGACCAAGCGAGATTAGATTATCCGACACTTACCCAATGTTGTTTCATAATAATGTAAATTGTTTATACTTTATTATATCTGTTAAATGATATTTTTATTATATCTATATAATTTCGTTACTAGTTTAGCTAATTGTAATTGAAATAGAGAATGAATAACACCTTTAGCAATTGAAGAAGTAGTGTAGCGGATAATGTAGAAGATTTATAATATAATCCAGAGGTCCCAGGTTCGAATCCCACTAAAGTGCGTTTTTTAATACCAATAGTTATATAGTATTAGGTGTTGGAATTAATTCGTAGCGTTTTACAAGTGATGGGAAGTACTTTCATTAATGTATTTTTTAATGCTCATGTGAAATAAATAACATTCTTTCATTAAAAAACGCTACGAATTAATTCCAACACCTAATAAATTTAAAGTAGATATTTAATTTCAGGTATAATTATTATAAATGTCTTAGGAATAAAATTTGTAACTCTTAAATATGAATGTTCTTTTTTTTTTGAATATTAAACTAGTGTCAGCTGGGATCCAATCCATTTCAATTCATTCAATCCATTTTCATGAATTTAAAGTACGCATTAACAAAATTTTAATCCATTTTAATCCATTCTCGTTTGCTGGGTACGTTTTATCTCTTGATTGCACATGCGTGTACTTGCAATTCCTCATGAATTCTTAGAGTATTCAAAATACTAAGTCGCGAAGTATTCAAGTATTTGTAATGAATTTCTGAGGAATATTTCAAGATAAACTAATTATAGTTAATTCTTCAAGAATTCTTCAGATATTCATTTTTCTAATCCTGTATGTCTCCTTTAAAATAAATTCTCTATGAACTCCATTCCTTATGCGCGAAAATCACCCTAAAGCATGCGTCATACAAAAGAGAAATACTAAAAATAACAACAAATTTGGAATTTTTTCCATTGTAATCCCTTTACTGATTTTATTGCTCGCAAAATATATATTGATCGATTTTATTGCTCCACCCTCATTTGTGGAAAATAATGGTAAAAATAGGCGGTATAAATCATATGAACTATTGATGTAAGGATATGATTTCTTCTCAATGTGGGACTTATATTCGGACCAATACACCCATCTATGTACATCTAATAATTATAAGTTAATGGTCACTTTGGGTTTTCGCGCATAAGAAATGGAGTACGAAAATCGTTTGCATGGAATACATTTTGTAGGACAGTGCATGATATTTCACAGAAAGTTTCATGAAATTCTGCTTATTGATTTTACAGCAAAAAGAACATGTACGGTATAGAAATTGTTTTCCGCAAATGAGATGATTTTTGTTAGTAAAAGATAATGCTTCGAAATTTAAACTAGTTTATATTACGAACATACAGGGTCCGGCAAAATAATCTCCCACATTTTGCACTGCCACTGTCCCCGAACCACTGAAGAGAGGGGGAGCTTAGCGTAGTCGGTTGGTAGCTCGCGCCTTGCCATTTCAGTTGTCGTCATGAATTGGACGGGCGAGCATCGTGCCTTCGTTATCGAAACATTTATGAAAAGTAACGAATCTGTGATTACGACGCAAAGAACTTTTCGTACTCACTTCGCGCTTGGTAGACATGCTCCAGTTCCAGATCGCAAAACAATACTGTTGTGGGTTTCAAATTTTAGAGCTACAGGTTCAGCTTTAAAAAGAAAATCAACTGGTAGACCCAGAAGTGTTCGGACACCTGAAAATGTTGCAGCTGTAAGAGAAGCAGTTGAACGATCTCCTAACCGTTCAGCTGTTAAATATGCCTCTGCTTTGCGTTTGTCAGATGCTACGCAATTTTTTGGAACCAAAACTTAGAGAACTTGAACATTCGGATGTGTGGTTTCAATAGGATGGAGCTACGGCTCATACGGCAAAAAGGACAATGGACGTTTTAAGGGAAATGTTTCCAGGACGCGTAATCTCGTTACGTGGAGACGTTGGGTGGCCTGCGCGTTCACCCAATCTTGCCCCATGCGACTTTTTCCTTTGGGGCTACCTGAAAGCGAAGGTTTTTCAACACCACCCCCGAACCATTAACGAATTGAAAGCAGCAATACGCCAAGAAATTACAGGAATATCGCCTCAAATTATTGCTCGAGTGATGGAAACTTTTAGAAATCAGCTTCGAATGTGTATCGAAAAAAATGGTCGCCACTTGGACTCTGTAATTTTTAAAACTCAATAAAAACAAATGGCATAGCATAAATTTTCAGTTAATAAAAATAAAATCTAAATAGCATTTACAATGGCGTTTTTATTAAAGATTAAAATGTGGGAGATCATTTTGCCGGACCCTGTATAATTAGCACTAAATTATAATGTTAGTATTATTATATTATTTTTAATATGCATTCTAACTTAAATTATTAAAAGTTAAACTATTAAAAGTTAACAAAAAGTTATTTCTTGCTAAAGATAGCTAGAGCAATAAAATTAAAAAGAGATCACGCAAAAAGAGCACTGAATCCTCCGTTTGTCTCACGTGATTATACTCATATTAGCATTCTAGCTTAATAGATATAGAAACTTCTTTCTAGTCTCTTCTCTTTCGCTTTCATCCTTCATTTTTCAGGATGTTATTAATATTTAATTAAAACTAAATTTCTTTTTTTAAATTAATATTAATATTTTCTCACGAGCCTGAATTGAATTAAAAGAATAATATTTTCGATAATATATACTCACATCTGCTCTGCTAACTTATAAATTGATCCCATTGATTTGGACAGTTCTTCGCACTTAGCCATTAATTGATACATTGATTTTATATTATGATCCACAGCGTCACAAGTCTTACACACTGCATCTCTGTATGTTTCTAAACAACCGACTGTGAGAGCCGAAGCCTGGAAGCAAGAACGAATTATTTTTAAATATATAACGTGGCAAAATAAGACTTAATGACAGTTACTTACGTTTTGTAGAATCGCAGCTAAATTTTCGGTCAGTGCGTCCACAGAGGTCGCAACTTTTCTAGCTTCCATTTCTAATTCGTTTAATACATTATGATCAAGAGGTGGTAATTGCGGAGTTAAGGCTTGTCTATACAAGCATGGGGTTGAACTTCGTGATCCCGGAAATGATGGAGTGTCTCCTTTCTTAGTTACAGGACTCGACAATTTGATCTTGTTTTCCAGATCTTCAGTTACAAATAACACCATATCTCCATCCTGCATTACTCTTCCCTCCAACTGCAGGTAACCTATAGCTTTATGATAACTCGGTGGATCGAGATCGTCGATTTCTGTTGGACTGCCGTCTCTACTTCTCAAATTTAATTGATCCGGCCTATGACCAGCTCCTCCTATTTGCTCTAAATTATCATCTAGAAATTTTCCGCTGTCAATATCTGGAGAATCAATGAGTGATCTCAATTCGGAAATGGGTGGCGAAGATTGCGAATCAAACGATATCTCAGAATAAGACGCTGTCATCTCGTGCAACTGAAACAATAAAACCATTAAATATTGATAAATTTTGAACCTGTATCGTGCATATAATAAATGAATCGATAAATTTTATTATGATGCAATACTGATATATTTAAATACAATTAAGGAAATCCAGAAGTCGTTTATTTTACCAATTAAACATAATAATGTTCGTAGAATAATATCGCACATATATAACTTTTATATAGATTTCAAAATCCTTCTTCAGAATTAAAGTATAGACATTAATACGAGTTTGTAATTTGGAATTTTGATTGAGAATAAACATTTTTAAAATATGTAATCTTTTTTACCATTTCTTAGTTCAAAATGGCGTTTAGAACTGTCAAGTTGTGGCAACATTTGTTTAATACAAAACCTCCGCAATCTGTACTGTTCTATGAATTAAAAAAATTTTTAACTTTTTTTATTTTATAATACAATTAGTATAAACTCAAGCCACTTCCTATATATAATATAATTTTGCGTCTACTTCAATCCTGTAAAAAGATTCTGTAAAAACAATAAGATAGGAAACAAGACTGTTTATGTTAAATAACATTACTTTAAAATCCGAAGCGTCACATTGTTATTGTTTATACACGCGCGCTGAAAAAATGCGTTACTCTCTATACATATTGGTTATTGCGAAGAATTATTCCTAAGATCTCGGTAATCTAAAGGCTCAGGACGCTCGCACGGAATGCAAGAGATTCGAGTTCGACTCCCGGCCGAGGCAATATTTTTCGCAATAAGTTTATTACAGTTTTTTAAGATTAATTTGGGAAATTTTGGGGGGATTATTAATATTTCAGATCAATTGCGTTAATGCCGACAACCATATTGACACATAATTATCATTTCTGAAATTAATTCAATTGTTTGAAATTATAATATATATGTATTAGTTCAACATCTCAATACTTAGACCATAGTGGCGCTTCAGATTTTAAAAAAAAGATTCTGTAAAAATCCTATAAATTTTCGATTCCGTTCAGCCAATTCAGAGATTTTTATATGGCTGAATCAATAATTTCATCGTGAATTATAAAAACCGATATAAATATCAACCTACGTCTTATTTTCTCAACAGCGAGAAAATAGATTTAAGTAGATCAAATTTATTTAAGGTAAACGTCTCAGTGATCGGACATATATGTATCTATGGCCGGACACTTACACATAATTTATTATTGTTAATCTCAAATGCTCTTTTTATTACAATATTATAAGTTAGTTATATTTTAAAATTACAATTAAATTATAATATTATATTTAAAAAAACATTTGAGATTAATAATAATAAATTTTGCAAATATCCGAACTTGATAGATACATGTCCGGTCACTGGAACGTTTACCCCTTACACCTCAGACTGTAAAAATCAATGACCCAATAAGCGACTATTCCCAGATTAAGATAATAGCGATAAATATTTCGTTTAAGACCTAGAGCCTTATTTTTAAAAAATCTTATATGAAATTGCTACAGAAACCTATATAAGATATACATAACATACATTACAGCATTTTCATATGCAATATTTTTCAGGAATACGACCCTTAGTCTACAATAGACGTTAAAAGCTTTTAACCTTTTGTTCAAGTTCTAAACTAACTTTTTTTCCAGTAAAAAGAATTTCTGATGCCTTAAGAGAATACGGCTGAACTTGATCGATAACTTAGATTTTTTAAAATTCCAATTTAAAAAATCGATAACATTTTTAATTAATTTTTTACATTATCGTTTTGTCTCACTCAAACGCATACATCTGTTCTTATCTAACATATTGCAACATCTCTTGTAATATCGAATACCTACTGCTAGATACAATTACTGCTCTGTTTACTATTCCGAATCTTCGTTCAGCATTCATATATACGTAATTTGTAGATCGATATAAAGCTTTTAATCTTAATTTCATAAATTCAATATTATTTGTGCACGTAGAACGTTGGGTGCTGAACTGTTTTGTCCAAAGAGCTGTAAAACTTTTGTATTACGGAAACATCTACGTCAAGTACAGATCTATAAGTTGAAAAATGTAAGTTTTTACTTTTTCCGATTTTAGTATAAAGTCTACTATAGCAATTCTGTAAAAAGGAATTTTGATTTCGTTGAGTAAATTCGAAAATTTATATCGATCCGCAATGTCCCAACAATTTGGTCACTCCAGCATCCCTTTAAATCGTAATCCTTAAAATTTAGCAAGCTGGCCAGATTATAATCGCAATTATAAAATTTGATTATAAAGTTTAAAACAAATAAACTCATAGCTGAGACATTACAAAATAAGTACAAAGAACTAAAGGTTAACCTAACAAACAACTAAGTCAAATAACTCATTGGTTTGCAAAAAGCAAAAAATATATACTGATTTAGAAAACCAAGAAACAAGCAAATAAGATATTTAAATAAGTAAAACATTTAATTTAATAAAATAATAAATATGATACAATAATATATAAGATGTTTCGGTTCACAGTCTTCATCAGTTCATAATTAAACATATAAAAGAAAAAATTTACAATAATCTTTACGCATTAAGCTTGATAAAAGTAATAATGAAAGAATGAACAATAGTCACCATTAACATATAATATGATAATCGAAGTTACATAAAACACACTATGTTAACGGAAAGTATAAGTAAATAGCGTAAGGTATATAATTTGGATAATTAATTCATCATTATTATTCATATATTCGACGTTAATTTTAACACATCAATAAGTATTTGCAATAATGACATGATATAGACGTTGAATTTATCATATATGTATACATATACAGAGTGCCTCACCAAAATCCGCACAAATTTCAATTTAAATTTTCCGCTATATTGTGCTTCCGCCAGAAGTTGTTGTTGGCGTTCGAGAAAACCTGATGTTTCTAGTAAACAGTCATATTCAAAATGGCCACGATGTTGAAATCAAGGGGGAGTATAATCGAAGAGCCGCGATCATCGAAGGCCTTCGCGCTGGGTACTCAGCAACGGAAATAATTCGATTCTTTGGATACCCGTCTATGTGACAAAATATACGGCTTTAGAACAGTTCAACGAAGATTCCAGTATGCCAGCGAAGAAGAGCCATTCGAAAGAACGCACCGCGAGGACCCTCGCAGTCGTTGAAAGGGCTCAAGCGTTGATTTCGGATGACCTAGGGCAATCGTTGTAAAAATTAGCATCGATTGTTGGTGTAAGCGAGCCAACAATGTGTCGAATTGCCGAGGAGGACCTTCGATACAAATCATACACATTAAAGGTACGACAAATGCTCTCTGAGGCTGCCAGGACAAGCCGAGTTGCTCGTCTCAGCTTCCATTTTGGCCTCCAAGCCCAGATTTAAATCCCTTGGACTACTACGTATGGAACGTAGTTGAAAGGGTCACAAACAAGTCTCGGCATCCCAATGTGACGTCATTAAAAACCGCTGTTGAGGCAGCATTCGTCGGCATGGACAGTGCTATATTATAGCGTGCGTGCGAACGCTTCAGATCGAGAATAGAGGCCGTCATTTAAGCTAATGGGATATATCGAATAATTGTGCTTTACAGGGATCCTCCAAGTGCCATGTAAAAGGATTTTTTGTAATATTTAATTTTTCATTAAAAACATTTTGTTTAAAAAAATTGTTTGATTTGGTGACGCATCCTATAAGTAACTATAATTAAAGAATTTATTATTACTAGAAATTTAAAATGCCTATTACGGTCGAAACTGGATCTCCCTTGTTTTAAATAATTCAATCTTAAATTACTAATATACATTATATATAATATGTACTTGCATACATACTGTAGTCTTTTTTAACTGCGCGCCAAATTTTTCCGGATTATAAACGCAATTAAAACTACTCTAGTAATCGCTAATTAAATTGACAAGCAATTTTAATAATTTGATGCTACCTCAAGTATAATAAATTATAAAGATGTTAATATATTGAAACTGTTGATAAATTATTGCGAAAAATATTACCTCGGCCGGGACTTAAACCCGAAATTCTCTTGAATTCCGTACGAGCGTCCTAAGCCATTAGATCATCGAGGCCTTAGTAATATTCTTAGCAATAATCGGTACAATAAAGAAACAACGTTTTTCTTTCTTACGACGTAATATAAATATTAAGAATCTTTGTTTTTAAACCGCATATGTGAATTGTTTATGATGCAGAAAAAAATGACTTGGCAATAACAGCATAATTTTCAGCATAAATTTCATTTGGCATAAATTTCAGTAGCTGAATCAAATTTATTGTTAATTGTAAAAACTATTAGTATAATTGTTAAGTTCTGGCTATTATAGATAAAGGACATTCATTGTGACGTGAAACTTTATTAGCTGAAAAAAAGCATATTAGTACAGACATTTAAAAAGATGTCAGACGTACCTAAATTCCTTACCCATGCGCATACATTACGAAAAATGTTTCACACAGCTATAATACAATACTTAACACACATAGCTAAGTTTATAGTTACGCGCGAACCGCGCGAACGTGTCTCGTTAGTGGGTGCATTCAGTACTACAAGTATGACCGCTCACTGAGCGCTCAGTGAGCTCCTGTTTGGTCTATATTTTTAAATCTAACGAAATATGTCAATCAAAGACAAGAACTCACTAAGCGCTGAGTGAGCGATTGTAGTATTGAATACACTCATTGGCTCTCCGAACGTATACCTATTGTTTCCCTGATGTGGGGAAACTACCCTACAGCAGCGCAGTAACCGTTGTATGTTGTACGCAGTTGTCCCATTATTTTTTAGCAACATACATTTTGTACAGAATTTATTCTAATAAACGTAATAGACAAAGAAATCCGAAAAACACATAAATATGAAATAATGAGGGTATCTCAACTTATCACTGAGGTTAAAAGTAAGTGCACTTCTCTATAATGTGATTTTCCATAAATGCGTTCCATTTCATTTCGTATGATGCATATAATGTATTATTTTAATACATTGTTCACCAAATATTAAAGAATGAAAATATATCATACGCAGGAAAATATATCATT